GATGCATTATATAAAGGTACAATTCCCAATGAGAAATGTAATTGTGTTGTGTACCTACAATGTACCAATAAAAGAATTTAATACAAAAAAAAATATGGAAGAGGTGCACAGGTTCTATGCAAATCCTATGCTATTTTAATATAAGGGACTTGAGCATCTGCGGGTTTTGGTATCTACAAGGGGGTCCTAGAATGAATCCCCCCCAGATATCAATGGATTACTGCACTTTCTTCTTTTATAAGTGAATTGAGGGGAGATTTCATTATACTGACTGTTTTCAGCTCTATCTTGCTCAATCAAATTATTGAAGGATAAGACAGTTTCTTTTAAGTACCAAATCCATTGTTTAACAAGAGATGGTTTTGTGGACAGCCTTCTGAAATTTTAATTTCATGGAGAAATGAAGAAAAAGCAAAATTAACTTCAGTAAGGTCCCCCCCTGGGGGGGGCTTTCTCTTAATCTCAAAACAAAATAGGGATATTTTTGCCATTGCATATACTTAATGTCCATAACCTCCAAAAACTGTAATTAAACCACATTATTTTATTGCAAATGTAAAATATACAAAAACTGTTAAAACCTGTACTCTCTAAAATGAATATTTATAAACTTTTGAAAAATATAAAATTTCATGAACATAATTAAAACACATGAGAACATTTCACATATATTAATATAAATTACTTTTTTAACATGGCTTTGTTGAAAGGTAAAATTAGCATTTACTTCAGCTTTACTGGTTTTAAGAAAAAATACTTTTGTTGGAATATTATATCGGTATTGATAGTACCAAGATGAAAGTCACTGTCACCTGGATAATGTAAAAGGAATTAATGTGACACAAACTGAAAAGAGGAGGGGTTTGTGAAAACTGGCACCCAGCGGTCCTCTCTCTCTAGTGAGCAGACTGTAAGAATTAACATGTTGGCTCAAGGAGAACTAATTATCAAGTGCTTCTAAAATATTGGGGATAATGCAAAGTGTTTCCTATGTGTTTGACTTAATACTTTAAAAAAATGGGTGTTAATCTGATTTCATGATGCTAAATTTAAAGAGTTTTATGGACTTCTGTAATCTGAACTAAAAATCATTATTGACAAAGGAGTAAAATTATAAGACAAAAAATAAAATAAAGCCATTATCTTTACAGCTTGAAGAAAGGCTTTCATTTCTTTCTGTGCTGGTACAACTTTATAATCCTTAAAGACAGATACACCAAAATTCACATAATAAATCTTACAAATATATCTATGTGATGATAAATATATGCATATATGTTAAAATACATATACATATGTACATACATATATATGAAACAGCCAGCAAAGACTAACACAGTTGGTGCGAATAAGTGATCCAGCATTTTATTCCTCCTTCAACAGCATCTCTCTATTTGGGAAAATTAGTGTTAGATTTGCAAAAACATTTTAAGATTTTTAATGCATATGTCCACCACTAATTTTTGTAGAGAAAGCTGTTCAAATATTTCATTGTTTTCCCATGTACTACAACTCATGAAATCTTTCTCAGTCTTTCTCCTGGGCATATATGTCAGCACCAGTTCATTTCCCAATCTAGGATACACACTGATCCTTGTGTTCCAAGAAATTTTGACCTGGGAACAATGTATCAAGGGCAAAACTTGACATTTAAGATGTCAAGTAACAGGTGATATTTAATGTGTGGGACTTAAATTCCCCAGAGTGGAGCACCACTACCATACCCTTAGGTTAGATGTCAAAAATTCCATTAATTTCCTTACCAAGAAGGTATCCTGAGAAAAACAAGGGAGTCCTCAATACTCAAAAGAACATTTAAAAAGTTCTACAGTTTTCAAATACTACTTTTTCAGAAGACACTTCTACAAATTTGTGTTCACAGCTTATTTATCTGATACACAAGTAAAAATAATTAGCAGTCAACAGAGTATACATGTATTTAACCTGTGGTATCAATCCAGAGATCTTCCATGGATAATCAATTTTCAAAAATTTAGAATGCCTTGAACTATGCTGAACACTAAACTATGCTGAAGATTTTAACAGCAGTTTAAGACTCTGCTGTCATTTCAGATCATCACTGTGAGCATCAGTCATAGTTCAGTAGAATTGTGGGAATGCTGAAGTCAGTTTAACAGAATTCTGATTGGCAGAGTTTACTTTTTATTATCCTTGGTAGGCTTGACTTTGCTCAAAAACAGAAAAACAAAATAATGTTTGAAGTTAGAAGAAACAATCCAAACAATTTAAAATTTTCTTTTTGGTTAGATTTGTTTCGACAGAATTTTAATCTAGACATGATAGCAAATTTGTTTTCTATAAGACCAATAGGTGATAGGAAATCCGCCCATAAACAATAAAGTTCACCATAAATGTTATTCCTGCCATGAATCTGGAACGAAATAGGAAAATAGTGTGGAATTTTTTTTGGTATCGGGAATCGAACTCAGGACCTTGTGCTTTCAAGGCAGGCAGCAGCACCATTGATCTAAATCCTTGGCCCAGTATGGAAGTTTTAATGTGAAAAAGATACCTTTGTAATAGCCTCTAAGGTCTTAATTTTTTTTTTTTTTATACCGGGGATCGAACTCGGGTCCTTGCGCTTGTGCAGCAGGCAGCAAAACCACTGAGCTAAATCCCCAGCCCTTAATATTTTGTTTTATAGGAATTTCATTCTCCTTCCCAATCTCTTCAAACTGTATCAATATCTATGTGGAAAAATGTGGCCAGGATGAATTAAACAGAAAAAACCAATCTGGCCACTTACAGTGATAGGATACGCTAATTTTGAAAAGTTCATAACTGATTATAATTTCCTTACTAAGGGGTACAGAACTAAATTTCAAGAGAATCACTACGATAACTTGTGCACGTTTCTTTTTTAAACAAAGATTTTTTTCCCCCCAAAATTCCAAACAGTCTTGGAAACCTATCCTTTAGGGATAAAATATTTGAGAAAAATTAAAGTGGACCATATAATCCTGATAAAATGTAGCAGTTATTTCACAAAAATATCTACAAGAAAAGTAACCTATGGAATAATAGAAGAATGGGACAAAATGAATGTAACTTCAAAGCTGAATTCACTTGGATTTTTCCAGAGAGTTTGCTTTGTCTGATGCTATCCAGATTTGTGTTAAAAGAACCTGTTCTTTGAATGTGTGTTTTTGGGAAAAGAAAAATTTGTTTCCTCTATCTGAGGTCTGAAGTACTTTCCTCCTCTCTCCATCCTCCCTCTTTAATTGGTAATAGTCTTATGATTTTTGATTAAACTGCTATTTGTGTCTTCATGGGTGGGTGTGTCTTGCGCCTTCTAGCTCACTGAGGTACAGATTTTGAAAGCAGGCCTGTTTTTTTCTTTAATACTCTGCCTTTTAATTTTCTAGTTTAAAAAGAAGGAAGTTACAGAAAGGAGGATGAAGCAACAGTGTTCTCACTTCTCAGTTTTAATGATGTGGGATTATGACTCACCAGAGAATGGTGACCGATAACTCTGCTTCTCAGAACACAGACAATTTGATCTGTGAATTACTATGAATCTAGGAATAGCCACCAAGGAAATAAGGCACCACCTGGAGAAAGCAAATCTACTGTAGTCAGAAGAGATTATTCTGAGACAAATATAACTCCTTGACTTCTTTTATGCTTAGGCAGTATTTAAAAATTTGCAGAAATGGAAAGATGGAGAAATCTTCTGGAAGAATATCAAAACTTGATGTTCAAATTTGATGGCCCAAGTGAAGACTTTTTAAAATTCTGCCTCATGGGGCTGGGGATTTAGCTCAGTGGTTTCGCCGCCTGCTGCGCCAGCGCAAGGACTGAGTTTGATTCCTGGTACCAAAAAAAAATTTTTTTTTGCCTCATGTTTAAAGTGTTAGAATTTTATAAACACTAACTTTCCCAACAGTACTTCCAAGAATAAGTCTTCTTTCTCCTTTCAAAGTGTCTTATAATGGAGAAAATTTAGGATTTACAGAGGTTTTGATCATCAGTCCTGCTAAACAAGGTAATGTCATCTTCATATCCTGCTGTTGAAAAATCTACATTCTCTAGTAACATGTAATTGTTCTCATTGCTATTTGGAGAAAGGACTTTTGCTTTAGCAGTGGATGTCAGCTCACTCCAGGTAATGTTAGTATTTTTAAAAGCATGTAGAAGGAAGATGCCATTGATAATGGTGAAGAACCCACTCAAGGTTCCGATGATATCTCCAGCTTTCATGCCATACCACTCTTGGAACAAGATGGCAGAGCATGTCACTACCATGGAGGTGAAGATCACATAATAAATAGGAGTCACAAGAGATGTATTGAAAGTGTCCAGTGCTTTGTTGAGATAGTTAATCTGTGTTGTGACTGAAAGCACAAGTACAGCCAGCAAAATAAAGACCAGTGGATTCTTGTAAACTGGCTTCCGATCTAGTAGTTCCTTAATGGCAATTCCCAGGCCCTTGACAGAAGAAACTGAGAATGCTCCAATTAAAGAACAAATTGAAATGTAGACCAGTATATTGGTCTGTCCTTTCTTAGGAGCCACAATTAAAATCAGCACCAAGGAGATCACAGTTATGATCACAGCAAAGGAAATGAATCCTGTTAAAAAGAGAAAAGAATTACACTTTTGAACATGTTAATTTCCAGAAAAGATTGTGCCTTTCTGAAATTTTGTTAATCATGAATTTAAGAATTTAAAGTATTTAGATACTTTAGAAAGATTAAATTAAAAACAGTAATATTCTATTGTACAGCTTTCATTTTATAAGAAGCTTAAAACACATTTTTTTTTTTTGGTACCAGGGATTGAACTCAAGACCTTGTGCTTGCCAGGCAGACACTATGCTGCTGAGCTAAATCCCCAGTCCTGAAGATATTAAATTTTTTTTTTTGTTTTTGGACTGGGGATTGAACTCAGGACCTTGCGCTTGCAAGGCAGGCTTGGTGCCACTGAGCTAAATTCCTGGCCCTTACAACACATCATTTGAGTCTTCCCAATATTATGAGGTCAGATAGGTATGGTCATTTTTACTTTTATTTAGGGAGAAAGTGGCAAGAATTTGACCATAAATCTTCTGCCTCTACCAGGCCTACCTCTCCCTTTCATTACATAGAGGGACAGAATGGGCAAAGATAAACTCTTTCACCTTTTCAGAAGACTTGCAATAAGCAAATCTTATGATGTCTCACAATCTACAGTTAGGGTCGTACAAGCCCGATTACTATATTATTGCAACTATCAGTTGATTAGAAGAGAAAGAGGAGCAGAATTTGAATGTTTATTTAGGCTGGATCACAGACCTGGGTCTCTCAATTTCATTTCCATTTCATGCAAAGAAGTGACTTCCTCTTCTTGTGGGGCATGGATAACCATCACAGTTGACCCCAATATACTTAATATGCAGCCTATTTTCCCATGAATGTTCAAGTGCTCATTTAAAAAATAGGAAGATAATATTGCACTGTGGGGAGAGAAAAAATAAGATCATTATGGTTCAATTATCTTTTGATTTCACAGCAGCTCAGAAGCTGTGGTATTCCAGTGAGCTGACCTGAATATGGTAAATGGCACTGAAAAGCCTGGGTAGGCTGCAAACTCAGAATGATGGTCAATCACCTCTGCCTCACTGATTTACATCTGAAGAACTGTCATAGACACTTAACACTCCTGTCATCCTCCCAAGACCTTTTAAGAGGCTTTGTTCTGTTCATTTTCAATTGTCCCCTTTCTCCTATAAAGCCAAGTAAACAAAAGATGTTCACATTTTACTGGCACGATAAAGATTAAGTATCGCTATCTCAAATGCTTGTCACCAGAAGTGTTTCAGATATTAGATTTTTTTCTGATTTTAGGAATATTTGCATGTACATAATAAGATATCTTGAGAGGACCTAAATCTAAACATATAATTCATTTATGTTTCCTGTATACCTTATATATATAGCTTGAGGTAGGTTTATGGATTATTTTTGGTTTTTCTGTTTTTTTAAATTAGTCAATAGTTTTTATTAGTTCCAGACAATATGAAGCAAGTTCATTTATAGTGGTTCCTTATTTATTTCTCTGAACAATCAACATAGTTCTACTACCCACTTTTAAAAAAATAAATTTTCTCGGTATAATTTAGATATACATAATGATCACCTTCATCATAGGGAATTTGTACCTGTACATGGTATATCTTGATTCCTTTTTTTTTCCCAATCCCCTCCCCTCCCTTCAACCCCTCTTCCCCTCCTTAAAAGCTTTGTTTCCATTTCTTCCTTTTTTTCTCATTTTTTTTCTTTTTCCTTCCTTCCTCTTTCCCTCCCTCCTCCCTAGTTTCCCTTTCCTTCCAAACAATTTCTTCCTATTTCACATTATCTATTATATATTTTGGTCCCCATTTACACTTTCAGTTTCTCACACCAGAGAGACAATACAATATTTACACATGTATGTCTGATTTATTTCACTTAAGAGTATAGTCTCAAGGTGTATCCATTTAGCTATAAACTTCTCAAGTTTATCCTTCTTTATGGCTGAGTAGTACTCCATTGTAGCTAGTTGTTCCTCAGAGGACTAATATTTAGAACATACAAAGAATTGACAAAGATCATACTTCCTAAATTTAAAGACCCAATACAAAAATGGGCATCTGAAATCAACAGACAATTCTCAGGTGAAGAAGTACAAATGGCAAACAAACAGATGAAAAAATGTTCAATATCACTGGCCATTTGAGAGATGCAAATTAAAACAATGCTGAGATTCCATCTCACTCCAGAAAGAATGGCTATTACCAAATCAACTGACAATAAATGCTGGTGGGGACTGTGGGGGAAAAAGGAATCCTTTTCCACTGTTTATGGGAGTGCAGACTGGTGCAACTGCTATGGAAATCAGTGTGGAGATTCCTTAAAAAACTAAAACTAGAGGTTCCATCTGATCCAGCTATTCCCCTTTTTGGTATCTTCCTGAAAGAAAGCATTATACCACAACAATATATGCACACCCATCCGCACACAGTTTGTGTGGGGAGTGTGGAATTTTCCATTTGTGGCATTATGTCCACATTCAAAAATTTTCAAATTTTGGATCTTCAAATTATAGGTGCTCAACATATACATTTAGAATATATGCCCATAAAAGTTTCAAACAGAATGATATACACCTGAAGTAGAATTACTCAGCTCAGGGCTGATAGATAGCTAGTACATATCAGCTTACCCACATAGATTATGAAAATATTAGAATTCTTTCATACTACCTGCTACTGCCCTGGTACTTCCACATATCCAATGTTCCCAGTACTTTGGTTGTTGTGCATCGGTCTCAGAAAGCTCTGGATTGGCACTCCCAGAGCATGTGTTATTGTTTAGATCTGAACTATTCCCCCCAAAACTCATGTGTTGAAGACTTAGTTTCCAGTGTAATAATGTCCAAGAGGTGGGGCCTTTGGGAAGTGATTGGATTATGAAGCTATAACCTCATCAGTGGACTAATCCATTGATAGGTTTTTAGCTAAATGAGCTAAGGGAGGTGGGGGAAACTGTAGGAGGTGGGGCCTACTAGGAGGAAGTATGTCACTAGGGGCATGTCTGTGAAAGGTGTATTTTGTTCCTGGCTTCCTCCCTTCTAGCTACTTCCTGGCAGCCATGAAGAGAGCAGCTTTATCCACCATGTACTCCTTGTCATGATATTCAGTCTTGTCAGAGTCCTAAAGCAATGGGGCCAAGACTGGTGCCCCATGCCTTTAATCCCAGCACTCGGGAGGTTGACGCAGGAGAATCACTGTGAGTTTGAGGCCAGCCTAGGCTACATAGTGAGTTCAAGGTCAGCCTCCATAGCAACTACATAGCAAGATCCTGACTCAAACAAAACAAAACAAAACAAAACAAAACAAAACAAAACAAAACAAAACAAAACGCAATGGGGCTCAGTGATCCCCTGCTGGGGCTTCTGCATGCCAGCCTCCTTTCTTGGATGCTCTGGCACTCCAGTAATGCAAGTAATGGAGCCTCTCACCCTTGAGATGAGGAACAATCACCAGGTGCTTTCCTAGAATCCTATAATTGTCCTCATGTGGCTACTTTTGGGATTGTAACTTTAGAGAGTGCTAAAACTATTACTTTCATGGCTTGTGTCTAGATGTTCCCAAAGCCTCATGCAGTCATGAATGGAGATTTTTTGGAAGTGGCTGAATCTAGAGTGTGTAACTGATTCAGGGTGCAATGCTAGGATTAAGGGTGCTAGGATTAAGGGGGGGTGATTGCTGGATCAGTCCACTGATTGGTTTGGCACTGCTCTAATCCTGGTAGCCTGGATATAATATAAGGGACAGAAAGAGGTTTGTCTTTCTCTTGCTGCTTTTGCTACCTGCTGGCTACCGTGAGCTATTTCTCCTCTGCAAGGGCTGTCTGCCATGCCACCCTGCCTTGGAGCCAGGTGACGATGGACTGAAACCTCTACAAACTGTGAGCTATGTAAACCTTTCCCCCTTTAACTTTGGGTGTTGGGTATTTTGTCTCAACAATGAGAAAAGTAACTAACACAATTACTATATTATTTATTCACTTCAAAGACAAGAGTTCTACATGCTTTATGTGTATTGACTCCTTTGATTCTCAGAAAAAAATCCTATAAAGAGGATAAATAGAAGTGAATCATAAGCTTTCTAGTAGAGGCTGATAGCAAATGGAAATAAGAAAGATAAAATGCTAGCTGAGCTACAAAATAAGACTTCATGACCTCACTGAACATATTCATTTGAGATCATAACATACATTAATTCAGAAAAATCAGTTTCACATACTATGATCCATGTGCTATTTTTTTAATATATATTTATTGGTACATTTTAGGTATACAATACGTTTACATTTGTCATTGGGTGTTTGTATCTGAAGATGATGTATCTTACTTCTTATTTTTTCCCCTATTACCTGTGTGCCCTTCACCCCTTCCACCCTTCCGTATTTACATAGATTTTGTTTCCATTATTTTTCTTTTCTCATAATTTTTCCTTTCCCTTCTTCCCTTTCCCCTTCCCCTCTCGCCACCCCTACTCACATGCTATTTTTAATAGTCTTCATGTACTAAAAGAAATTACTGGGTATCCAAACAGAAGTATTCAGCAGACAATTTAAGATTTTTAATGAAAATTGAAATTTAGCCCAAACACCATGCTTTTTTAAGTTCTCTGACAGTTACAGTCATTCATCACTATGACCACAAAAAGAATTAAAAGGACTCTGGCAATTTATTTTGGTGAGAGATGTAAAAACAAAAATAAGACTCTGCTAGGGTTCACTGAGTCACAAATACAATACATAATTATGTTAGGAGGAACCCACATTCACTGTCATGGTGTTTACATATAGTTTTCTATTCCCTATTTCTACTGCTATTTTTTTTATAGTCTAGGCAAGTGTTCTACCATGAAGCCAAATCTCTAGTCCAAGAAAAAAATTATCCCCATTTTACAAATGAGGAACTAAGGTTCAGTGACCTTTCCAAAGTTTTTCAGGGCTCTTCTGTGCTATCAGAGTTCAGGTTGGTGTAGACTTTTGGTTTTGAGGGAAAAAACATATACATCATATACATATACTATTTCCGTGAAAATAAGACCTAGCCAGAAAATAATCAAGCTTTGAAAACTAGAGATTAAAAAATGCCAGTCCCAATCACCTTTTCCTTGCCTTACCTGTCATGTATTCTTTTGCTCAGTGGCTACTTTGTAAGGCAGGTAAGCCAAGAATAGGCTGCTTTAGGCTAGCATTTCTTATTTCTAGTTTTCAAGGCCAGTGATTTTCCAGCTAGGTCTTATTTTCAGAGAAACATGGTAGCAATGTGCTTTTTATAGTTCAAGTGTTCTATGATATTAGAATACCTGCAGATACCACACTCTTTATTGCTCACTTACCTTATGAGAACACTCAAGGAGCCCAGAGGGGTGACCAAGGTGGCAGGTGCAAATGCATAAGCTGCAAAATTTGCAGCCTCTCCTGCTCCCACTAGAAAGCAAGCAGAAGTATTACTGTACATGATTAATTTACTTATTGGAAGAGAAAACCAAATGTAAAGCAGTGGATTTTATCTCAATGACACTAAAAGATCTAGCTAAAAGGAATGATGTGCCAGGTAATCTTAACTGCCATCTTGATTGGCTTTAGAGACTCCTAGAGAGGTGACTGGGTCATGGGAGCACGATACTTATCAGTGGATTAATCTGCAGATGCTGATAGCTGAGTGTGCTGTAGAGGGTGCAGCTCAGGTGGACATGGGTCACTGAGTGTGTGCCTTTGGAACATATATCTCACCATGGCAACACTCTTTCCCTGTGGTGTTCTGCTTCCCTGAGCAGCTTGCCTCTGCCAAGCCCTTCTGCCATGATGTTTCTGCTTTGGAGCCAGCTAATCATGGACTGAACCCTCTGAAACTATAAGCCAAATAAACTTTTCCTCATTTAAATTGTGGTGTCAGCTGTTATGTCCCATTGATGAAAAGTGGACAAATGATTTAACTGTTTTTTTTTTTTAATAGAAGGTGAGAGGGAATTGGTATTTAGAGATTCAGATAAGCTATAATTACCTGGTGACTAACAACTAATGGTGACCGATGAATACACATTTGAAATGACTTTCAAGAGAGATTTTATTTACTTCAATAATGAAAACATACTTACCACTCTGATAAAACTGAGTAGAGGTAGCATTGGAGGAAGCAAGGAACAATTTTATTTTCTCAAGAATACCTACTGCCTTGTAAATTAACAGCAACAAAAGAATTTGTAAAATTAGAACACTTTGTAAAGATCTGATGTCTAAGTGAGGCATAGCCAGGAATCCCCATAAAGTCAGGCATTTCTGAATTGCATGTGAGCTACAACTAAGTAATAGTATTTGTGCAGCTCAAGAAGATCCGAGCAGCTATTGTAAAATCATAATGATGTGCTCCTTTCTAAATGTAGTCCTTTTTGTATTTGAGAAACTCTAGATTACATGAGGTAGTGTAATGCAAACAATTTCTAGAGTGAGAGCTATTGTATGGGAGCCAAACTGTTTTCATAGATCACAAATGGATACTTGCCCGAGGAATGTAGCATTTCATGCTGGCAAACTACACCAAGTAAATACTGATTGTAGAGAGAAGAAAGAACTCCGTTTTCCCTTTCTAGGGCCACTTTGCCACCCTCCCCCCAATCTTCAGGGTATGGCATAAGAATATACCATAAAACAAATCTAAAAATGACAACAGAATAATTAGGAGACTGCTTTTGTAATGAATCCTAGGATTTTCTGTATTAAGCCTTTCTTGAATAAGTAATATTATTTATATTGTTATCTTAAAGACAGTATTCCAGCAAAACAATGACCTCATGATTAAAGTAGTGCATATTTGTCATTAGATAAATCTCTAATGTATGCTTTTATCTCTTTAATACTGGGGAAAGCTTTTTCACATGGTGAAAATAAAACTGTAAACATAGCCATAAAATGTTTTTCTAATATTTTCATTCTAAAGTAAGAGCAGAGGGTAAGGAAATGAAAGTAAGAGAGGAAAAAGAGAATCACTTAATCTTTCTCAATCTATCTGTCTTGACTCTTCCCAGTTCTTGCCAAGTTTTATTCAAGTAAAGTAAGAAAGTAGGTGTGGGAAGAACTGAAGGGTATGCAAATTTAAATTACTTTTATTCATCATCCTTTTAGAGTCCACCATTTATTAAGGAAAAAGTACCCAAGTTCCTTCTTACAAAAAGATCTCACATATACTGAAATATTTTCCTTGTGTTTGGAAGCTTTCAGACTTCTAACTGCAGAGGGAAATGATTTTCAAGTGGTGTGAAACTACAATTTATGATGTGTTTTCTTTGGAAGTTTCAGACTTGGGATTTGAGAAAGTTCAGAAGAAGATAGGAGGCAAGTGAAATCAGTGGAAGTGGCTGAGGGAGATAACACTGCCTTCTGTATGGACATCATATTAGTGTTTAGAAAGCGCCTTCCAATTTACAGTCTCCCTTAACCCCGGAAATAAGTCTGGGAGGGAGGAGAGTGGTGACAACCTAACCTTCATCTTCTGTTTCTTCCAGTGTTAACAGCCAGAGAATCCTTGAATTTATTCATGTTTGGTTCTGGCAAGGAAAATGTACCCTTTCCAGAGAAAATATGTAGTTAGAATAGTTACAGATTCAAATTAGGAGCTGGGGAAATACAGGAGGAAAGCACTTTTTCTCAATCCTTACGGGAAAGAAAATACGAAGCACTTGTGATGAAATATATCAATATCAACTTTTTTCTTTATATTCTATGACAGTATTGAGTGTGCAAGGATTCCAGAAGGGAAGCATGTAATGTAATATCATATGCTATATGATATTATATGCACACAAAATTTTTAGACTTAAATTCCATTCTTATCTCAAAGAGAAATTAATGTTGAAAAATTCCATGTAATGTATTTATCATTTTATAAGCAAACTCTATTCTCACTATTAAGAACTTACTTGATAGTAATCCTGCCCACCACAGCCATTCCTTGAGGTAAGAATGCCCGCCTTGTCCTAGGAAAACCAACAATACAAATTAAATTATGAATTAGGGGAAGAAGGGTAGAAAATTGAGTACCAGAAAAGGTACTAGATTGTGTTGAAAAAGATAAGGCCCAAGTGAATAAATCTGAATTCTTTGGAGATTTTTAGTTATTTCCAAAGATCTTTGGGCCAGGGATTTAGCTCAGTGGTTCTGCCGCCTGCCTCGCAAGTGCAAGGTCCCAAGTTTGATCCCCAGTACAAAAAACAAAAAACAAAGAAACCAATGAACTTCTAAAACTTGCATCACCTTTGATATTTACAGAAAGTTTTTTTTTCTTTGTATGAAATTTTATTTAATAATTGAGTTCATTGTAATTATGTCAGAGGTACAGACATTGAATATTATAAGCTGAATATTTTGTGTAGCCATGGTTAAAATAAAAAAAAACCCTAGAAGTTGTAAATTACATTGATAGCTAATGAGGATTTTTAAGGAAAAAAGATAGTTTGGATTAGGCAATATAAGAATAACAAACATGAGACAAGTGTACTTTACTTAGTATGTCCTTACCTTGGCATAATGAATTTTCTAAAAGCTTTCCTAAGCTATTAAAAAAATTATCTACTCACTACTGTCATCTATGGCCTGAAGGCATTGCTATGTTTGCCTTACAAAATAGACTTTTCTCAATTTTAATATAACTCCCTACTTTGACTTAGATGGTTTTGTTATAATTAAACTAAACAAGATATATAAGCTATAAAGATTATCTTTGTGAAACAGTTAACTATGTTTATTTAGGAATATCTCCTTATAAAATTTGCAAATGACTGAACAGGAATCATATTAAATTATTGGACTTTATTACTGTACAGTTAATATTTGAGTACAAGTATAATAACACATGGTTATGGACTACATGCACTTTTTTGTTCTTTTATGATTTTGTGAATTTATTGTTTATATCCTTAGCCTCTTTTCTGCTAATTTTCTTGTTGAATGCAGTCATTCTTTGCATATTATGAAACTTGTCTGTCCTTTTGAATATATTTCATAATTTTTCTTCCAACAGGTTGTGTGCTTTTTAGTTTCAGCAAAGGTATTTTCATACAGGAGCTATCTGATCTTTACCTATCTATCCTCCTTTTGATCAATCCAGGTATCTTCTTTTATAGGGAATAGATTCTTCCTTTAGCTTTATGAGAAAAGCCGTCATCTGGAAAGGCCTTTATTAGAAAATTTATTTCAGTTTAAATTCAACCCTAAATGATCTGGAATTTATTTTCCAGGTAAATAGTATAAAGTAGAACTCTTGTATTTATCTACTTTTTTCAAACTGTCTCCATAGTTTTAATGAAATATTTCATTTTTCTTCACTGGTCTGAAATCCTACTTTTAAAAATCACATTTTTAATCTTATGTGTATGTGGGTCTACTGTTAAGTTTTTAATAATCTTTTATTTTATTAGTATAATGCCAGTACTACGCTATTTTAATTAATATAACAATATGGTACATTTTATTTTCTAATGGTACAAATCTCCCTCAAAAGCACATTTTTAGAAATTTGTTTGTATAATGTTTATTCATTTATTTTTCCATTTGGGCCTTAGAAAAATATTTAAGCTTTTAATGATATTATACCTGATGAAAATATATTAAAAAATTCACCACTAATGAAGGACATTCATTCAGGCAGAGCCAGCTTGGCAACTGAAATGTCACTATACGTAATGACCTAAGTCTATTGCTATGGATCCATTGATTTAACAATTATTTATCAGGTTCCAAACACTGGGAGGGAAGGTTCCTGCCTTTATGAATATACTATCCATACGCAAGTAGATTTGTTGACAATAATAAATAATACATGCACAACCCCACTTCATTCTAGGAACAATGAAGGAAATTGTTGGTGCAGTGGTAGGGTGATAGAGATATAGGTGAAGGAGATATGCTGCCAGCCAGGGTGGTCAGAGGAGGCCTCTCTAGGGGAGTGGAATTGAAACCAAATTTGGAAGGGTGGTCGGTTGAATGAAAGGCAGTGCAAAGAGCATTCCAGACACTGAGAAAGACCTCAGTCTGGGAAAGAACTTCAGGTGTTCCAAGAAGGAGCAAAAAGGAGGTGACTGGGATGGGCATATAAGAGAAGCTGGAGAGGCATCAGGGGCCACTTAATGTAGGAGGTCAGAGACTGTGAGTGACACAGCTGCCTCACATAAGGAGACAGAGGTTAAGATAAATAGAGACAGTCAATGATTTTGGTTGTAGCATTGTGGACTCACAAGAGGATTGTTCTGAGGCTAGAAACTTGAATTTTTTAGTCATGTGTATTTCTTACCTGCTCTAGTAGCACCCTTGTTGGCCATTTGCAAGAGGCCCTTCTTTTTCAGTATGAAGCTGGAGCCAATACAAATACTGGAACTTATGGCCAGTAACAAGCCCACATAAAGACTATATTTGTTTTCTAAACTTGCTGAAATGCTCACGCTGGTTATGCTGCAATTCAGATTTGTGTAGAGTACAGAAGCCAGCAGCTGTGATACATTAGTGATCTCACACCAAGCTTGGGAAGAGTTTGGACAGACCAGAGATAGCACAGAACCTAGAGGAAGGAAAGAGAAATGTCAAGAACGCAAGGGATTAAGGTGTGTTGAGTACATGTGACAACACCCCCCCATGAATGTGATCATTATGCACAGCAAACATATCCAGTACTAATAAAAAGAAAGAAAGAAAAAAGAATGCAAGGGGCATGTATATGTATTAATGCTTACCTGCTTTCTGCAAGAAACAGAGACTTGAAAGGATGGTTCTGAAATACTTTTAGTGTCATCAGGGAAGTCCCCAACAGGCAGTCCACAGGCTTATAGACATTTTCTATTTGGTTTGTTCTTAAACGTGATTTTAAATTGCTTAGTTGTCACCATTTTAAAGTGAGAGATTTCACACAAAAGTCTAGAATCCTCTTGTAAACTGGCAATATTTGGGTCTCTGTTCCAGCACAAGAGCAACCTGCTGGAGTCCTGAGTAGTTGTTTAGACCTGGCTTTTGCTCAGTAATTCATCTCAATCTCCCACATCTGCCTCATGCTTCCGCACTCTCAGCCTGTCTCTGAGAATGCGTAGTTTGTGATGTACAAATGTAGAAAAGGCCACAGTAACCCCATTACTCTATAAATTACCATGTTGCAGGAACCTTAGCTAACTCATTTTTTGGTGGGTATGAATTGTGTATTTCAGAAAACGTGTTTAAAGTGAGTTTAATTTTCCCTATCACATTCCCTAAGAAAGTGATTTTCCAGGTCTACTAACCTATCTTCTAAATAAAACAGAATCTAATATAAAAATCAATTAAACATCATTAGGCTTTTAAAAAAAACTTTTAAATTTTTACTGTTATTTTTACTAGTACTATGTTTGTAGTACATAATGCTTACATTCCTTGTGTGGTTTGGTACATGTACATGACTCAGTGTAATTCCTTTTTTTCATCACCCTATATCAAAGGACTCTGAAGAATGCATATGAACAACAATAAAAGACAGTTTGACCAAATAATGCCTTAGGAACAAAACTCCTGGAAGTGGATCTATGCATCTTCATAAACATAAAGTTATCTGAATTTTACCCCATACAAAGTTAGGGAACAACCCTCAAGTTCAGGCCTGGAAAATGGTAAAATAATTTGAATTCAAATATTTCATGACTATTATCTATCTCTAACATGAAAATGAGCCAATTTTGTTTCAGAGATACAGAATAAATTCTGAGTTAAACAAACAAACAAACAAAAAAGAATAAATTCTGAGTTAAAACTTTGAACTATTCCAAGGAGAATTACATGACTTCAGGGATATTTATACTATTGGGGAAAATTTAGGCAGGTTGTTTTAATAGGAACACCTGCAAATTCTCACACAAGCTATCCCTTAGCAATCTTCTTCTGCCTACTGTGTACCTCATGTAAAGCCCAGGAATGGAAAATGAGTATTTATATTTTTGTCAGTAAAAATTTCGTTTACATTCACTCCTGAGAAAACATCTGACTTGACTTCCTAGTGGATTCACAGCTGCATCTGGGTCATTTACTATGTAGTTAACATAATCATTCCAAAACTTCATCTCTGAAATCGGGGTGGGTGGACTTCATTCCAGGGAAACAATATGCCTTCTAAGCCGTTGACACAGCAAAATGTTTCCAACATTTCAGGGGGTGCGGGGCAATGGGTGATAAGGCAGAGCAGATAATCTGTGCCACAATTTCCAAGTTCTCCTTGTAAATGACAAACATGAATGCTGTGAGTTTTATGGCAGGAAAAATAATAAAACTCTTGTCTACGTATCGACCTTAGAACTGAAATTGTTTTATGTTTTGGGAGCATGTCAGGGAGGAGTCTCCAGGAGACATGATGGGGTGGGGGTGGGGGTGGAGGGCTGGCTGCCCAGTAGATGTGGAGTGGCGTAGGGCAAGGGGCAGAGGCTGTTGACGTGGTGTGTGGGCGGAGTTCAAAGTGTCTCAGAGGAATTAAAGCTATCTCACATCAGAGCTGGCTTCTCAAGATCCGAGCAAGCACAGTAATTCTGCAGGAAGTTTAATCCCGACTTGATTCAACATATCAAGAGAAAGTCTATTGCATTCATTGTTTATGATTTTAATAAACATTATCAACATCCCTCTAACGTGACTGTACCGATTTATACTCTCAGCAGAAACATATATAACTTCTTTGATGTTATTTTTTTCTCAATATTGAGTAATAGAAAATGTGTCAATTTTAAAGAAAAATAATTCAATACAGTATACACCAATATATCGTTCAATTTAACAAATAAAACAGTGCCCCTTAGAGATAAAAAAAAAAATTCCGATTTTCTCTTTAACATTTTTTTGCTTTAAAAAGAATCTTGCCTGCTAACATTGTAGTTCAACAGAGTGTATTCTTTGGTGACTTGCTTGTTTTTGAGGTTCACCAGGGTTAATGCATGTAGAGGCAGAGTTCATTTTTGTTCCCCACTGTCCTCCATGTATTTTACTATATGATTACCCCACAATTAATTTTTCTGTTATAGTTGGTGCACATTTAAGTAATTTGTGGTGTTTCTGCTTACATGCAGTAAGCACTGCTATGTTAAAGCACATAAAATTAATTAGAAAATTAACACACAGATGCCCTTAAAATTTAAAAACAAAGTTAGATATTCTATAGGATTATATACTTTTCCCCACCTATCTTTTTTCTACCTACTTTTCCCCACTCTATACTATGTATGATCATAGGCAAGTTGAATAATCACCCTTGGTTTTAGTTTCTTCACCTCTAACATGAAGGAGTCTGACTCAGCTATTGTAAAGATATCTTCGATCTTACATAATTCTGTGACTCAATGATTGTAATGATGTCTTCAATCTTACACAATTTTCTGGTTTGATCATAATGTATATTTGCTCCCAGAGTTGTTTACAATCCTACTGGCTCATATATGCTGCTAAAGGATTAATTTTAAACTCACAGGCACTGATAACCAAAGACTTTTTATTTTTCTAATTTTTTGGCTTTTTTCATTCATTACTTTTATTGGTACATTTTAGATATACAATATGCTGACATTCATCATCGGGAATTTGCATCTTTACACAACATATCTTGGTTCTTATTTTTTTCCCCATTCTCCTGCCCTCCCTTCAACCCTTCTCCCCTCCCTATTTACGAAGACTTTGTTTCCATTTTTTCCTTTTCTCATATTTATTCTTTTCCTTTCTTTCCTTTCCCCTACTCCTCCTACTTCCCCTTTGCCCCTTTTCTTCCTATTTCACATTATCTATTATACCTTTTAGTACTTATTTACACTTTTAGCTTCTCATACCAGAGAAACTATTTGGCATTTACACACGTGTGTCCTATTTATTTCACTTAAGAATATGGCCTCAATGTTTAGCTATACCTTCACTGGAGGAAAGATAGCCTCTTTAATAAATGGTGCTGGAGAAATTGGGTTTCGATTTGCCAAAGATTCAAACTAGACCTATATCTCTCACCATGCACTAAACTAAAATTGAAATGGATTTAAGATCTAAATATGAAAACAGAAACATTAAATCGGCTGGAGGAGAGGTTAGGTAGAACTCTTGAAGACATTGGCATAGGAAAAGATTTCATGAACAAAACCTCAGTCGTATGTGAACTAACACAAAAAATCAACAAGTGGTATCTCTTCTTATTAAAAAGCTGCACAGCAAGAGAAACCACCAACAGCACGAAGGGACAACCCACAATGTGGGAAAAAATTTTGATCAGCTGTCCCTCAGACAACTTAGTCTATGATCTAGAATATATAAAGAACTTAAAAGAATCAGGCCACCCAGGCATTTTGGCTTTTTGAGACAAAGTCTTACTGTATAGTTCAGACTGACCTTGAACTCACTATAGCAACTCACTCATAGCAATCTTCTTGGCCCAGCGGCATTCTGAGTGGTGGGATTATAGGTGTGTGCCATCATGCCTGGTAATCAGAAGACATTTTTAAAAAGTTGATGCCAAGATTTTAAGTGACCACCAAATTATATAACTGCCAAAACCAGGATCAAGGAAGCCAATCTCTGGGCCAGTATTTTATTTTAGAAAATTATAAATTTAAAATATAACTAAAGCCAGTCAAAATATTAATGGTTATGTACAAAGATGAATTTTTTTCTAAAATACTGTCTATAGAGAACAATAAATTGGCCAGTTTATTACAGAATGGGGGATCTGTGAATTGCATGAACCTATACTTTTAATCACCGCAAGATATTTCCAGTTGGAGGAAATCTTTTTCTCACCATCTATTCTTCTGTGGTAGGTTTGTAACCAGCACTGCAAAATGGAACTTTAAAAGTTAGAAGTCTTTCTTTTAGAGATAAGCCACTTCTCCAGGCTTCCTCTTGTTGAGCGTATAACCAACACCCCCTCCTCTCCTCAGCTAGGATGAAATGACAGAATATGCAGATGACAGCCCCAAAATGCTGGACTCTAGTTTTCTTTCCACAAGAAAGGATTGTCTCTCTGCACTGTCTCTCTGTGCTCCCTCCCTTCTGTTCCTTACTATAAAAGATCCTTCCCCACTTTTACACAGGAAGATGGTGATTTGAGATAAATAGGCCCCTTCATCTCCCTGGAGTTAGCTTTGAAAAAATCCCTTTTCCCGAAATACATGACTTTCTTTGATTTGGTCAGTGGTGAGTATAAACCTAGGTGGCCGTTAACAGTTTCATTATGCAGCAAATACTCATTCCCTTATCTTTCTCCTTATGGGCAGAGTGTTCTTACCTTGCTATAGTTTGGATGTCAAATGGCCCTAAGTCCATGTGGCAAAAGCTTTGTCCCTAGGGAGGTGATACTAGGAGGTGTTGGAACCTGTAAGAGGTGAGGCCCAGTGGGAGGCCTTTAGATCACTGACACCATGTGCTCAAAACAGACTTCAAGGGCCAGGTATTTAGCTCAGTGGTGCGGCTGCCTGCCTTGCAAGCACATGGACCTGAGTTCAATCCCTAGCCCCCCCCCAAATACACTTCAAGATCATAGTGCTTCTCTTTCCCCCCACTTTCTCATGACAAGCTGAGCAG